TTCTCAGAAGGGTATTTCTTGATTGAGTTAAACAAAGTTTTTTTTTTTGTTGTTTTTTTTTTGTTTCTTAAGGCCAGAAGGCACAATGATCAAAATGTAGTGATAACACCAACAAAAATCAGGACAATAGTCTGCATGTAAATAATGATAGCTACACATCCCAGAAATTCAAAAAAATGTTTATATTTCTTTTTTGCTTCTGTACATAATAGTTTTATAGATTATTTATGCTATTTATATGTGTACTATTCTTCTCATCTTTGTTGTGGAACAAAAACAGTCTACCTCCATAGATTAAATAAAGCCTTCTTCGGAATTCCCTGATGAAGTTTTGAAGGCACAAAATGGCTGGAACGTTGTAATAACAACAAGAAAGATGAGAACAATAGTCTGCATGCAAATAGTTTAAATAATGATTAATAACTGTTCATTCCAGAAAGTCAAAATATATAAATATTGATAAGTTTTTAGAAGAATATTTTAGCTGCATGTGTGGTTAATGTACAAAGTGAAAAAGAAATTATATCTGTTCTTTGAGTGAATAATTACTGAGAGTTTTTTCTCTGGATATTTTTGAGAAAGAGATTAAAATTTAAAAAATGGTTTATTAGGTAATTTTTATCTATTTATCTCCAACTTGAAATTGTTAGTTTTACTTATTTTTTTATTGGTTATTTGATGGCTGATAGTTTAATTTCAAGTATGGCTCATTCACTGAAATGTAAGGCATCTTAAATGTTTATTATGAAAATAAATGCTTTAGATTAATGCATTTTTATTTTTATTTTGATGGCAAAACTAGACCTTTAAGAAAGCAAACAGATAATGTGCAAGAAAACAAGCATGTAGTTTTATTGGAAAGCGTTTTCATTTTTATATTGTTACATTCTAAACTGCTTACATATAATTTTTTTTCTGTGTCATGTCCTGAAGGGACATGGGGGATTATGGCTCTCCATAATGTCTTTTCTTTTATTGCCCTGAGTCAATGATTCCCAAATTTTTTTCTCCAGATCGCATTTTTGGAATGAAAATTTGCTCATGACTCACAAAATTTTGTGATAAAAAGTATATTGCTTTCATATGGCTTCTCATGATGGGAAGCTATATTGAAGTAAGAAAGTGTGTTACCTTTGTTAAAGAAAGTGATTTCATTATGAGGCTTAGTAAAAAAAAAAAGGTATATTGTAAAAGAGTGCTTGGTGTATTGATTATATTAGTCAAATACATTAGCTGCAGTTAGGGATGTGCATTACAAACTATGAATAAACTAGTTGCTTTTTTAATTATTTTTTTTATAGAATTACTGCCTCCATAAGAAGCATATAGAACATCTTGTGAAATCTACATACCTTGTACTAAATATAAGTTATCACAAAAAATATCACCAAACTTATCTATCTTTTTTTTTTCTTTTTTTTTTTTTTTGTTTATTCAGTCTTCCTAATGTGGTAAAATAATTGCCAGTGTCATATGACAGATATAGTGATACAAATGTAAATTAATTCAAAACTGTATTGTATACTGTTATCTCTGAGTATTTTCTTTTTTTTTTTTTTTTTTTTACAATGATGTTCACCCTGTACAATGCCCAAGAGCCACTTGAAATAGAGGGTTAAAGAGGCACCACCCCCAAACAAGGTGATAATGCCACCAAGTCACAAGGGGGCCACTGGATGTGAAAGAAAAGGAAAAGACTTTATAGGGAACCAGAAACCCAGTCCTAAGCAGAAAACAAGGGCTAAACATCTACTCCTAATCAAAAGACCAGCAAAAAGTGTGAACCGGATAATAGGCAAACCTATCAACTCCTATTGAGGAAAAAAAGAAGTAAAATGCCTGCAATTAAGTTTGAAAATTTCTGTTAAGCTACAATCTCTCTTTTTATTTATTGGCTAATAACTATGAATATCAATCTGTGTTCCATCAGTTATTATTAATTTACATTATTTTCAGTAGAAAGTCTGTTCTGAACACACTGTACCATCTTGAATTTCCCAAGAGCAACTTTCATATAACTTTGCAGCCAATCAAAGTGGATTTTACTGAGTCTGTGTGAACACATACCCATCCATGGAATTATTCAATTGGCAATGAAAAGCCATTGGCTGAGCTTGTGTATTGTGTGACTGTCACATTAAATAAATAGATTGTTCACATATCTTTGAATATTTTTTTACTGGAACATTGCAACACCCAGGTTTTAAAATTTTTGTCTTTTCCCAATGCTAAAATTATAGAATTTAATGTATTTTAAGGTCAACAGAATTTTTTGCTGGAAAAATGATAGATAGCTAGTGACAATATTTATTACATCAGTGAGGGCTCAATGGACTTCTCATTTGATTGACTCCAGAGTTTGTCTTAATAACACTTACCAGAATCAGATGGTCCAATGGTATATAGTTCAAATTTTAAGTTTGAAGTTTGAAATGATTAATGTTTGTTTTGTAGGTTCGGTTTGTTTTATCAATCCATTGGGTCATTTAATCCTGAAATTTAATTTCTTTGAGAGCATTAGTAATTTCTTTTACAAAAAATGTATTGCTGGTAATTTTTTTTTTTTCTTTTATACTTTCATAGTGTTTTTACCTCAGTTTAGGGTTAACTATTTGCCCATAGCTGGGACTCTAACAGGTGCTACTACCATGGGTCAGGATGTACCTGGGAACAATAGCAATTAAGTGGTGGTTCCATACACTTCAAAACCTCCCAATCAGAGGCCTTGCTGCCGGATGTAGTCTATCATCATGCCCAGGATGTTTTGTTTTGTCGACTATAAGTGTGGTACCTGGTAATAATTCAATAGATTTATCAGGCTGTCTGACACTGATGAACATTGTTACACAGAACACAGGAGTTGGTTAATGAGATAAGTTTATTGATTTATTGAAAATATATCAGAAGAAATTGAATACTTGTCTGTTGAATATTCTTTGCTTCTATGGTCTCAATTCTCAAAGTGGATCAGCATTCCCCTACAATAACAGATTTTACAGATGCAGCATTGCTTTTTATTCTTATATTTCTATATGACTTGAGTAAAACTAGGATAATTCAAAATGAGAGAACATCGAACATATATTTGGTTTAAATTTACCTTAGAATCTTTTGGGTCAAAATAGAAATTTCTTAGCTTATAATTGTATTAAAACAAAAGGTTGCTATTCAGGCTTGTTGGTGAACTGTTAGTTAAAGCATTAAATTCATAGAAATTAAATCCTCTGCTTTGAATAACCTGTTAAAGATAAAAGAAGTTAACTTGGAAATATTTTGGTCTTGGATTTTCATTGTTTCACTAAAATTAATTTCTATCTTTTTTTTTTCTTATATAACAAAACAACTTCTAATTCTAATTCATTATTTATCCCCCCCCCCACACACACTTTTTTTTTAGAAATAAACTCACTAAAAGCTAACAGTTGGAGTCTTTTAGAATAAACTCATTAAAGTGTGTATGATCTTAACAGTAGGCAATACAGAATTTTGTTTTGATCTGAAATAATGTAGTTATATCTTTTTAATAATGTACACAAGCAAACATTAAATTAAATAAGTTATATCCTGTTTCAAATGTACTAAATTAAAAGGTGAAAATTAAGCTGACCAACTACTTCATTGGAAGACAAAAGTTTAATTTTTCTATTTACTGTCTTCAAGATGTATTATTGTTAAATATGGCATTTATGAGGCTCAAAAGATTATGATTTCATAAAATGACTTTGAGTCTTCAAAACTGAATCTGTTTATTTTTCTTGTTTTTAAAGACTATAATTTGTATATTTTTTCTCCATTTTAGTGTGAAAGTTGGAATTCTTGGTTCAAGAGAACAAATGTGTATCCATGAACATGTTAAAAGAGAAACTAATAGTATAAACAAAGTAAGTACTGTTTTCTATTCATTTTTTTGTTACTTACTTTTTGTTTTCTACTTCTGTGTTTTTATATATATATATATATATATATGAGTCAAAAAGAAAACTCTTCTTTACCAATGCGTTTTGTCCCTGATGGAACTTTATCAAGGTAAATGGGGAGATGTTAATTGGCATATATGAAATAAACTTACAAAATAAAGCTACTACAGAAATTGAACTAAGCAAAGTTTTAACACAATGCAAAATACCATAGCAAACAAACAAAATATGTACTGAACTGTTATGTAATATCCAGCTTCTTCATAGATGAAGAGAGTTGAAACAACAGATGTCATTCTAACAGGGATTGCTAAAAACACCATGGATAGAACATGAGTAGCAAGGAAGCCTTAAGGAAAATAAAAACTACAAGGAAGCTTATACTTGCAATCAGAAAGAAACAGATAAAACTTCTGGAAGACAATAAAGGAAGAGGTGCTGAGAGAATTTAACACCTATAAGGACATAGTGAGGGCAAGAGAAGCAAGGGAAACAGGAAGTAAGCTACTTAATGAGCTTGCATTAATGGATAGTGGATCAAGGACACATAGGGATGGTAAAGAATCAAAAGTTACTTTGGGCATCAAAGGATGGTAAGTTGTGGAGAGCCATGATCGGCTATGTCCTGAAGAGGCATAGTATAGAAAAGAAGTGAATGGATGGCAGAACAATGGCAGATGGTAAAGAATCAAAAGTTACTTAGAGCAACAAAAGACAAGGCTTGGCACCAAGAAGAATAACAAAGACAAGGATGGCCAAGTATGAAAAACTATATTAATTCACCCCCCACCCCAATAGCTGATGTTAATATTATCAGCCAATAAATTGGTGCAACTCTCAGTGACATACAAAAGACATATCTGTTATAAGTATATCTTTATCTTGCTATTCAACCTAAACAAATATGTCAACACAGAATGATATTGTCACTTTTGTAATATATCAAATTAAAGAAACATCTTGGTTTAACAAACTTTCCAATCTATTGTGACTAATAAAAAAAAGCAAACCTCAAATAAGTTAAAAAAATTAAAGAAAAAGGTGTGTGTATGTGCAGTTGTCTGTACGGTATGCGGTGTCTTTATGACAACCCAATTTGCCAATCAAAACATTGTGTATGCATCTAGCTTTCTTCTTTCTTGTTTCCTCTTCTTGTTTCCTCCTCTTCTTCTTTCTTGTTTCCTCCTCTTCTTCTTTCTTGTTTCCTCCTCTTCTTCTTTCTTGTTTCCTCCTCTTCTTCTTTCTTGTTTCCTCCTCTTCTTCTTTCTTGTTTCCTCCTCTTCTTCTTTCTTGTTTCTTCTTTCCTCTTCTTCTTTCTTGTTTCCTCCTCTTCTTCTTTCTTGTTTCTTCTTTCCTCTTCTTCTTTCTTGTTTCTTCTTTCCTCTTCTTCTTTCTTGTTTCCTCTTCTTCTTTCCTCTTCTTCTTCTTTCCTCTTCTTTCCTCTTTCCTCTTCTTTCCTCTTTCCTCTTTTTTCCTCTTTCCTCTTCTTCTTCTTCCTACCTTTCTTCTTTCTTATTTTCTACCTTTCTTCCTTCTTTCTTTTTCACTGTGCCCAAACAATCTTTCTTCCTATTTTGATTACTCCTATCAAATAATTATTCTAAATTAAAACTTGTTCACTTTATTGACTAACTCAATTGCTATGGTCAATGCAGGTATCTGTTAAGTATTTAGCATCACCACCCTCTGCTTGCTTTACTTTGATTAGATTGTCTTATTTTGCTGCAGTGCGACACACCCGATCCAATAATGTGCCATTTCTATTGTGCTACATATATTGGTCTGTTTCTCTTGTTTGTTTCTCTTGATTTTCTTGGACCAGGAAGCAAATCACTTATCCTTAAGGGCTCTGGAATGTAAACAACTTTGCCCATATGTTTTCTCATAGGTTCAAATCAATAATTTTTATAAAAATTTAATCAGTTTTTATCAGATAATAATATTTAATTTTATATCAGTGCCCATAGAAAATTAACATAGCATGTGTGTATCTGTGCCCTTGTGGCTTCATCTATTATATATATATATATATATATATATATATATATATATATATAAACATAGTATTAAGGTGTGCTATATTTATGGGATAAAGTGCTCAATGTCAGAGATAGAGCATGTGTAAATATAAAAGTGAACTTAGAAGTCAACACTTAGAGGCGACAGTCTGTTTCATGCTATATGCATGCAACTGACGATTGCATATAGCATGAAACAGACTTGCATTGACTTAGTTCACTTTATATATATATATATATATATACACACACATCAAGTTGTAGTACTCATTTGGAAAAACCTCGATAGCTCAACTTGCAGTAGAACAAATCGGTACCCAAGGAAAAATGGGAATTAAAAAAAGAAAGAACCAAGAACATTAAAACAAGCCAAAAACAATCCTCAAGTGTTTAATCTCCAAGGGCAAAGGAAAAAAAAAACAAAGCGAGTAAAAAGACAACTATGTAAAGTGCTCAATACACTAAGTAGAGCAATAACCTAAGGAACCAGGCAAAGGTACCTAGGTAGGTTTGCCTGGCTCCTAAGGATTATCTTAGGTTATATATATATATATATATATATATATATATATATATATATATATATATATTAGGGGAAAATAAATATTCGTACACATACAGGTTTATTTATGAGTTGGAAATACAATAAATTAAAAATTTGTATATGTACAAATTTGTTTCCCCCTCTATATATATATATATATATATATATATATATATCTAAACCATTTCAGTGAAACTAGATTTGATTACAATTAAGATTAAGAATGGTCACAATGTTTGTAATTCATCCCTAAGGATCATCTCAGAGGATATTGAAAGTACTTGCTAAGAAAAAAAAAATATGGCATCTTCCTTGCTGAATTTCATCTTAGCATCGAGAAACTGATTAGAGAACTAGAAAGGATTATTATAAAAATAAAGTTACATAATCTATCTATATTATGTAAAGAAACATGTTTTTGTGTGTGTGTATATGTAAAATGATGTGTGTGGAAATTCTCTTTGTAAGCTAAAATATTGATTTATATATACAGGGTGTCCATAAAGTTCGTGTGCACTTTTTAAAATTTATAACTTTAGAGTGCACACAAACTTTATGGACACCCTGTGTGTGTGTATGTATGTGTGTATATATATATATATATATATATATATATATATATATATATATATATATATATATATATATATATATATATATATATATATTGAATGCGGAAAAAAACAAATTTACATACTGTATTTCCAACTATGTAAGCTATGATTTTAATCCTTCCAGTTTTTCTTAGATCCTGATGGTTGTATTTGGATTCTAGATTAATGCCTAAACACTTCTGCTTTATACTAGTCTTAGAATAAATCCAGAATTATATATAATTATACAAGGAGTTGCTAAAAAGTTCTTGGCTGGACTCCACTTCCTATATGGGAATGACCAAATATCAGAACTGATATTGGTAACGTGATTGGCCCATAAACTCTTCAGCACCCCATTATAAAAGATTAAATGATGATTTCAGGTAATGTTAAAATATGAAAAATCAGTAAACAAGTATGGATGAAATCATCAGCTAAAAATTATTAGATTTTCCTTAAATATTCTTTGCCAAATTTTAGGTATACATTATAATATGAGAAATAGTTTGATACGGTTGTGTTTAAATGAATTTTGGTAGTCATGGGGTGATTTGATAATTTTGCATGAACATTCATTTGAGCTTAGTAAAAGATGTTCTTTTCTAATTCTATATAGTGTGTGTGTGTGTGCTCAGCACAATCAAGGTTTTGAATAATTTGTTTCTCATGTGTTCATTCATTTCACTTCACCACTTTGAATTTTTATCCAAGCGCCTTTCTGCATATAATAGGTTGTAATGTTTTGGCAATAAAATAGATTATCACTTTAAGTGCAGTTTCAAACCCGGCAGCTGAAGATATATGTCTTGAATTTCATTCCTTTGTATAAACAGCTGCATTAATATCCACTGACAGAAAATTTAGTTGAAATATATCTGGCTATACAGGTATGCAGGGTGTGCTACAGTTATTGGTGAACCAAGTTCAAATCCTGCTCAATTCTGTTTCATTCATTTCATGCTAATGCCCTTGGAAAAGGCATGAGTTCATATTCCTCCAGCTATGGGTTAAATTGCAGGGAAGACTGGTTTCTTTAATTTTGGTGGTAACCACTGAAGGAGAAGGAAAAATAAATTCAAACCTGAGGAGGGTTGTTTTTACATTGCACAATTTCTCTGATTTAAAGTCTTCCATAAACAGTGGCTGGTTCTGAATGAGCTCTCACCACTATATTCAAATCCTCTGTGTGGGTAGACTAGCAGTTCTGTTGTTTGGTTTTGAATTCTCATACATAGAGATTAACAGGGGAGTCTACCATATACATGTATGGCTGGTATAATGGAAAATCATAGAGCTAAGTTCAAATTCCAATTGAGTGTCTTACATTCAAACACTCTTGGTGAAAGTATGAATCCATCTCTTCTCACCCCAGCTATGGTTAAATAACAGGACAGACTGTGAACCGTATAACCTAGTAAGGGTTGATAAATGGAAGGTGAGCTTCTTAGAGGATCAGTCAGATAGAAAGCTCTTATTAAAAAAACCTGCAACTGTAGCATCATCTGACGTGTGACACCCAGTGTATCAGTACACCGCGTGGTGCTATGATAGTAAGAGTGTGTATAGCAGAGCACAGGCAGTTGACCACTCTAAAACAATTCACTTCTGTAGGTTGTTCAGTAAAAAAAAAAAAAAAATGACTAAAAGCTCATCCGTTGTTCTCAACAGAATTCATTCATGTGTGTGTGTGTGTGTGTGTATATATATATATATATATATATATATATATATATAAAACTTTATCAAGGCAAATGTAGGATTCATTTATTGTACATGTTTATATACGAAAAGCAAGGATGTCACCAAGTTTTTTAAATTTGAGAACATTCATGAATATTCATCAGGTGGTTGAAAGGTCATTCAAGATGTGGAGGAGATGAAATGCCATAATACAAAATCTGGTAAAAGGCAAAAATAAATAAAACCTGCTGGCTAAGAATAGTTTTCCTTCTTGCCTTTTTATTCATTGTGTTCCTTATATATCTATATCTATATATATATATATATATATATATATATATATATATAGTCTTAAGATGTGCTATATTTATGGGATGAAGTGCTCAATATCAGAGATAGAGCATGTGTAAATATAAAAGTGAACATAGAAGTCAACACTTAGAGGCAGCAGTCTGTTTCATGCTAGACGCAATCGTCAGGCTATGAGTGCTGTCATTTTTTTTGGTTATTCATATATACGGGCCAGTGGTACATCGTGGGTCGTCTATTCTGGTGGTTATTTTACCGGAAGTTGTTTATTTATTTATTTGAGTTAAATTATTTTGCTTGTTTTTATTTATTTTTGTTTCTTATATTATTTATTTATTTATTTTTTATTAGTCAGTGTTTTTATTAACGCAGTAAAAATTTGTTTATATCACTTATTTAATAGTTTTGTTTTGGTTTCGGAAGATAATTAAACCTATTTATTCAATTTTGGGGTTGATTGTTGTAGTTTATTGTAACTATTATTATATATATAAAATCTTCCTAATTATTGTCAAGTGATATTTTGTATTCAAATATGTGCATATATTTGTTTTGTAAATATGGTTTTCTAAATGTCTTTTACATGTGACTCTGTGTGAGTGAACCTGCTCGTTTTTGTACAGTATTTAGTGTGATCATTGATATTCCACTCAAACTCTGTACATCGTGAATTTTGTATGAGTAAATCTCCAGAGATGTGGATACATCTGGAAGATAACACTATTGATTCCCTGAAAGATAAGCATTAGACATTCATATTCTTATCGTCTTTTCTAAGTCCAGCTGAAGGGCATAGAAACAGGAGACTGTGTGTAATTTAACGCTCATCCTCTGAGCTAAAGGATGAAAGTTGAGTGTAGTGTGAGGAAGAAATCTACATCATGGAAGAGTTTTGTTTTTCTTTTTTGTTTTTCTTTTTTAATAGAAAGACTGTTTACTTGAAGAGTATTTGCCACTTAGTCATGAACAGAAGTTACCGATTGAAAAAGAATTGGATGAGGAAATGTAGCAATTGTCTTTTTTATTTGATACCATCACTGTTCCTGGGAAGAAAAGCAAATAGAGAATAAAAAGCCAATGTTAGACATCACTCATTTGAGAAAGAAGTTGATATGAATTAGTTCTTGCTCTTTATTGTTCTTTTCATGTAATCAGGATTTGATTTTGTTTTCCCATTATGAACCTATTTTTAATAGTAAGAAAGTCTTTAGCTGAGAAAGCGAGAATGCATACTACTACTTAAAATAAAAAGTAATGTTTGTTAGTAACAGGAACAGTCAAAGACACAAACTTTGAATTAAAGACATCAAAATCAAGCAAGTCATATTTGTATATTTATAAGCCTACTAATTGTGCATGCTTTAGATATTGCTGCTACATCTGGTCTGGTGCTCTTGCTATATATTTAGAGATTTTTGATAAAATCCAAAG